GGCCAGCTTGGGGAACAGAGCTGAGGAGAGAAGGAGGGGGCAGTGGCCCCAAAGGAGGAGATAGAGAGGGCCCTGGGGGAGCTGGGAGGGAGCCTGGAGCAACAGTCTTAGGGAAAGGTTGAGGAGGGCCTGGAGGACAGGAAGTCCAGCCGCCCATGATACCCAGCAGTAGGACTCCTGGGTGCCCCAGGTCAGAGGAGGTTTGGGAAGGAGCAGGAGGCTGAGCCTCGAAGACGTCACCTGCTGAAGAAAGGCAGAGGGAAGGAGTCAGGCGGGGTGCGCACTGAGGCTGCGGAAGAGCCATCTGTGGCACTCTTGCTGGGCTCATATCTTCAGGGCCATCCCTGCAGGACAGCGTGGGGCAAGCCTGTTGCTCAGGTAGGGAATCTGAGGCTCCAGAAACCAGGTAACTCACCAGAGTGGGGCGCAGATGGAGTGGGAACCCTGGCGGTTGGGTCTGTGCCGTACTTGGTACATCTGTACCTAGACCTGTGATACCAGGGTGGCCAGGGCACGGGTGGCCCAGAGGTCATACTGGAGGGTGGGCTTCAGAGTTAGTGCAGCACAACAACATGGCCAAGATGCTAAGGGGGCCACGGGCCTGACAATGAGAATCAGATCGAAGCAGGTGCCATGCACACTGTATACACCACTTGAGTTTTTCTTTGAATTTCTGCTTCGTGCCTTTTGCCAGTTCTGTTGTCAGTGTGACACTTTAAGTGTCTTTGATAAAAGGAAATGAAGCTGCTCGAGCAAAGAGGTGTCCCTAGAGATTTGGGAAGAGCTTGGGAACTTCAGATGAGTTTCTTGGGACTCAGTGTACGTATCTGATGGTGGAATGCATCATGTGTACAGTAGCTCTCGAAGCCTGTTGACTTTTTAGTGTCCTAGCAGAGCATGAGGCTGGCTTTGTGTAAAGTCCTGTTTACTGTGTGCAGCCCAGTGACTCCTGATGCTGGTCTCTGGCTGGCCCTGGTGGGGAAGGGCAGGAAGAAGGGCCTGGGCGTGCTGGGGGATGGGAGCTACTCTCTCTGGAAGCTCCCCCTGGGGTTCTGAAGGCAGACTCTGAAGACTCAGCGCCTGGGTTAGTGCCTGGAATAGCAGGCACTGAGCAAAGACCTGCTGCATGAAGGAGGGGAAGGGTGCTCCTGGTTACAGCACCCAATATGGGCTGTGCTCGCAGGCATTGCCTTGCTCTGCCCTCCCAGCAATCCTTGGTGATAGCTGGTGTGAGCCCATTTTACAGATGAGGAAGCTGAGGTTTGGAGAGGATTTTGCTGCAGCTTGCACAGCCAGGGAGTGTGGAGCCAGGTTTGCAGCCTGTTCTGCTTGGCTGTGTGGCACACACTGTGGGTCTGACCACTGGCCAGGTGGACATGGCCTCAGTAACTCTGCCTCATCTTCTGTGTGACCATACTGTCCTTCCCAGGCCCTCCCACTGTCTTTTAGGCTCAAGTGGATGGGAGGCTGGGATGGAGGAAGGTCTGGGGTTATTGAAGAGTCTGGGATGACCATGCCTGTGTGATGCAGTGGGAGCCAAGGGGACAGCAGGTGGCATGACTCCAGTCCTATGTGACCCTCACCAGGTCACTCATGCTCTCTATGCTTCACTGTCCTTATCTGAACCAGCAGCCTCCTTTTACAAGGACCTGGCGCCCTTCAAAGGTCTTTCTCTGCCTCTCCCGAGGCTGCCAGTCACCAGCCTGCTCAGGACACTGTGCAGTACATTGTCTTGTGTTGTCTGTCCAGACAGAGTGTGCGGGTACTGGGAGCAGCTCTGGGGCCTGGCCCTTGGCGGTAGGTGGTGCCATACAGCTGGAAGTAGGGTGGTGATGTCTCCTTGGAGGCTAGCTGGGCTGGCTTTCTGCTCCCTGTTCTTGGGCGAATGTGAGAAGGAGGCTGGAATGTCCATGTCTCTGACCCTCTGCCCTCTGTGGGGAGCGCAGGCAGCCTGTAGGGATCCTCTGGCCTGGCTGCCAGAGTGGGTGGGAAACAAGAGCTCCCTTTATGCAGCTGTCCTCTAGCTCAGCTGGAAGCCAGAGGGTGAGGGGTCTGTGGGTGTCTGCCCCAAATGTTAGCACCTGGGGTCTGCAGAGGATCTTGAAGGGTAGGTGGCTGGTGGGCGGTGCTGTGTGTTCTCTTGAGTCTTCACTTTGGCTTCTTTTTCGGATCCTTGGAGTGGGGCATTCCCAGGCCCACAGTCAGGACTTCCTGTTGATTTCTGATCTCTCCAAGAGCCACAGGTCACGTTCACAGTCAAAGGTTGGAATGTTCTTCCTGTCACTGGGTGTGTGCTCCAGGAGAGAAGGCACACAGTGTGCCTGGGAATGAAACCATGTCCATCCTAACCAAGCCCAACCCAGCCCTCTAGGGTGGCTCAGGGTGGCTCATCCTTGGTCCCTGATGGCCTGCCTGGGCCACCTTGTGGAGACCAGCAGGAAGCAGGGAGGACTGGGCAGTGGCTGCTGGGTACCTTGCTTCCCTTTTGTCTTGGGCTCTTCCTGACCCCTGCTACCACCACCCCTGCTTCTTTGTTCATCTGGTCTAAATATGGACACAGGAGGTGGCTTTGGCCCCCAAAGCTCAGTTAGTTAGGCTGAGATACACAGAAGTCCAGCATGTCTGGTAAGATTTGTTAAATGGCTTTCTGGTCTTGCCCTGCTACACAAGGAAGACAGGACATCCTACCTGGAGTGCCTTTCCAGTCACCAGTCTGTCTCCATGGGGATGAACTGCTCTAACAGCCTTGGTCCACAGCCCACATCAAACCAGAGGCAGTCCCCTTCCTCCCTACCTGGCTCATCTGGTCCAAGGACTCCCTTTCCTGTGGTCCACAGGCTGCAGAATAGCCCCACAGGGGCCACACTCTTCCCTCAAGCACTTTTCTCCTGATGTGTGACTGAGAATGAGCAATGGAAGGATCAGGTCCCTGGGAGGCAGGATAGGCTGAAAGGCATTCTCACAGATAGTGCACTTGCATCATGCCCTTCCCTGCTGTACCCATGGCAGGACCAATCGATGGCATCACTCCTCGATAATAAGGCTGTACATCCCTCTTTGCCCAGCTTTCCAGGCAGCTACTGTCAACCCATTGGAACTGATGCTTTAGACAAAACCTATTTGCTGCCCTCTGGCAAGAGGAGTGGACCTCAAAGTCTCAGAAGGGGTAGCAGCTGTGAAGGTGTTTGGGGCAACATATCTGTGGAGGGTGACCAGCCTCTCCTAGCCCTGTCTCGGGACCCTGGGCTGGACTTCAGATGGGCCTGGCTCAGGGTGGTTCATTCTGTTCATGGGGGATACATCACAGGACTTTTAGTAGATGCCTGAAACCGTGGCTAGTCCTGCACCCTCCCTGCACTGTTCCTCTAAACATTTGGTGCTCAGAATGGCATACAGTTTAAAACTTAGGAATTCTTAGCTGGCTGTGGTGGCTCACACCTATAATCCCTTTGGGGAGGCTGGGGAGGAGGGTTGCTAGTTCAAGCCCAGCATGGGTAACTTAATGAAACCTGGTCTCAAAATGAAATATAAGAAAGGGTTAAGCGAGTAGTTCAGTGCAAAGGCTCTAACCTCCAGTGCCTTAAACAAACAAGCAGAACACAACAACATGAATTAGTTATTTCTAGAAATTTTTCCTTCCATTTATTTTGGTGTTGAGGATGGAACCAGGGCCACGCACACCCTCAGCAAGTACTTACTCCACTGCTACGTCTCCAGCCCTGGATATTAATTTTTTTTCTGGTATCGGGGATTAAACTCGGGACCTTGCACTTGCCAGGCAGGCACCAGAACCACTGAGCTAAATCCCCTGCCCTGGAATGTTAAATTTTTTTAGTGCTAAGGATTGAATCCAGGGCTTCACACATGCTAAGTATATACTGTACCACTGATAAGCTACACCCTAGCCTGGAACTTTCTATTTAATATTTTCAGACCCATGATGGTGGGTGAAGCCATGGAAAGTGAAATTGTGGGTGAGGGGGAGCCACTGTAGTGCAATTTGGACTCTACTCCTCCCAGAAGGAAGGCCACCACCTACCTTGGGACGGGGATTGTCTCACACGGGTGAGATCTTCTGTTGCCACTCCAACTCCAAAGACTTCTCCTCTTGCCTTCTTCATGGTGAGGTAGTTACACTTCTGGGGGGCTGTGTGTTAATTTGACACTAACTCATGATCCAGAGGAAGGAACCGCTGACACCTGACATCTGGGTTCCAAGCTGGTCTCAGTCACCTGCTGTGTGAGCTTGGACAAGTTACTTAATGTCTCTAAGTCTTACACTTTGTTCCCTGGGACAGTGACAACAATAGTAGCTGCAGAGTTGCCTCGAGGACTGAAGGAGGGTGAGAATACAGTCTGTGCCTGGGTGATTCTGTCCTCTGAGGAAGGGGCCAGAAGAGAGCACAAGAGGGCGCTGGGGTAGCCTCTGACCCCAAGAGATGGAGCTGTGAAGATCGAGCAGTGTGGAGCCTGGGTAGATGATACAAGCAGTCCTTGCACACTGGGGCCATGGGCAGGAGTGAGGGTCTCTGCCCGGTGTTCTGATGGCTCCGACCCCATAGTGTGCACCTGACTGCTCCCAGCCCTGCATGGGACTCTCTGTGGACAAGCAGTGTGGTGCAGACTGGAGGCTTTGCAATGGGGCAGGTTTCCCTCCAGCTTTGCATATGCCCCATGGACCTTGGGTACCCATGCTCTGCTCCCACTCCTGTGACTAGAGATGCCATCTTGAATCTGGATGCATACTGCATTACAGCACACCAGCACTCGGGTGCTGCTGTGCACTGTGGTCACAGGAGAGAGGCATACGGGCAGCTGTACTGAGTGACCCGAGCTGGTGCCAGGCAGCCTGGCCCTGGCCTTGTGCCACTGAGCACCTGTGGAGCCAAGGCTGGCCTAGGGGTGGAAAGCACTGTAAGCTGTTGAGGAGGGAGCGTTCATAGAACCTGCCCCATCTGGCCTCCCAAGTCCTGACCTCTCTCCTCCTGTCTGCTCTCCAGCAACATGTCTGACGCCTTGGCCAACGCAGTGTGCCAGCGCTGCCAGGCTCACTTTGCTCCTGCTGAGCGCATTGTCAACAGCAACGGGGAGCTGTACCATGAGCACTGCTTCGTGTGTGCCCAATGCTTTCGGCCATTCCCGGAGGGGCTCTTCTACGAGGTGAGCATGTACAGCCCACCTGCTGGGAGCCTGTGGCCGACTAGTGCCAGGGCCATGCCCAAACCAGCACAGAGCCATGCTCAGCGCACCTGGGGGGTATCTCACCTGTGAGACTTCCTCCAGCTCCTCTGGGCAGGTGTGGGGAGTAGGAAGCCGCTATCCTGGTGGTACATGCCTGCCCTCAGGACCCAGCAGTAGACATGGTGACTAAGTGGTCCATTAGATGGTGTGCATGCATTGGTAAGAAGGAATCCTGGGGTGGGAGTTGATGATCAGGAAAGATAATATTGGAGGGGATCTAAAGGGAGGGGAGCCACACACATCTGGCAGAAGAATATTTGGCAGAGGGCACAAGCCAAAGGCCCCATAGTGGAGGCATGCAGGGGTTCTTGGGGGAGCAGCAGGGAATGAGAGGGAGAGTAGCAGGAAGAAGGGGCAGAGAGGTGGCTGTCCTCTCACCCTGTGCCACTGCATATGGCCATAGGCTTCCACCTTGCAAGGGGCTGGATCAGCCAGGGTGGGGAACCCTGAGTCACACCATTTTCATAATGTGAACAGTATCCCTGTGGTCACCGTGTGGAGGACAGACTGAGGGTGGCAGGGACAGAAGCTCAGAGAGCAGGGTTATTGCTATAATCCAGATGAAAGGGAAGGAGCCCAGACCACACATACTGGCTCACAAGACCAGGTGATTAAATCTTCAATTTGCAAACTGTTGTTAAATATGGCCATTATTAAAAATTAAGGTATACAGGGCCAGGGATTTAGCTCAGTGGTTCTGCTGCCTGCCTTGCAAGAGCAAGGTCCAGAGTTCAATCCTGTGTACCAAAAAAATAAAATAAAATAAAAGACAGACAATAGGAAAATAAAAAGAGAAAAGTTATAAAAAAAATTAAGTTATACATGCTTGGCGAAATAACATTTTATTAAAACAAAGGTAAGAAATACTTAAAATTCCCTACCTCCTGGTTATATTATATTTCTCTATCATCTATGCTTCTGAGGTTATTTCTGTCCACTGTACCTGTGCTGTGGGGATTGCACATCTCGCAGCTCCACGCCAGTGGCCTCTTGAAGTTGGCCAGGGTGATATTTACACCACAGCAGTGGGCACACACCAGACTCCCCCGCTGCCCTATGGCGAGCCAGCTGCTGCACGTCTCCCAGCCCAAGTTGGCAGCTGCTGGAAAAGTGGGGCCAGGGCTGGGCGCTGCGTGCATTTTGGGGTGGAGCTCATATTGGTAGTTGGATGTGGGGTGTATGACCCACTGGCACAGTGGGGACTTGCAGTCTTCTGGAAATGTTGGCCCATAGGGGAGGTGGCGGGAGGGATGGGCAGAACTCCGAGGAGACAAGCGCCGGAACAAAGCCTGGCACACCGGAGGTGCTCAGGAGATAAACCCCCACCGCCTCAGCAGCTGCAGTCTAATGAGACACTCATTCTAGAAAACAGGAAAACCAAGTTTTTGAAAGTGAAAAACATTGTCAATGGAGAAGGAGGCAGAGGCAGGCTTTGGCCGTCATGCCTGGGGCCGGCAAGTGCCCCTCGCTGTCAGACAGTGGCTACCAGCTATGTCCACAGTGGCTCCCCTGGCTGCAGGACTTGGTTGTTCTCCCTTGCACCCTTTCCTGTGTCCCCTCCCTTTTCTCTTCCCTCCTTGAGTCTTTTGTGACCTCTCAGGGAGCTGAACTTCTCACACAGAAAGGACACAGGAAACCAGGCAAAGTTGCCCTCATTCCTCCCTAGCTGAAGCCACACCCCAGGCTCTTAGGACCCCCAGGGTGAGATTCTTAGTGCCCAGCCCCAGCCCTCTGAGAGCTGGCCTTGGGGTTCCTGAGACTCCCACTGAGGGCTCTCATGCTGCACCCACATGTGGCATGGGCCAGTTGCCCGCTCAGCCTTGGTCTGGAAAACTCTCCTCTGTCACTTGCTATCGGCCCCTGACCTGACAGAGGCCCAGGGGTCTCCTTGGAATGCTGGATGCTGTGCTTATTTTCTGTCTCTGCCCCTTTGCAGTTTGAGGGCCGGAAGTACTGTGAACATGACTTCCAGATGCTGTTTGCTCCGTGCTGCGGATCCTGTGGTAAGGGCTGGTGATGGTAACTTCTGTGCTGCTGGAAAGTGGGAGGGGGTCGTGGGCAACACAGGACTGGCCCAGCTTGGGGGCTCAACCCTCTGAGGACCACGCTGCAGGGCCCATCAGGTGCCCCGTGCCTATGCTGTAGGTGGGGTGCCTCAGACCAGGCTAGACTCGGGCGGAAGGTGCGGGTGGTCAGGACTCGGGATTCCTGTGCCCTGCCTGGCAAGCAGGGACTCTTCTTTTCCAGGTGAGTTCATCATTGGCCGTGTCATCAAGGCTATGAACACCAACTGGCACCCAGGGTGCTTCCGCTGTGAGCTGTGTGATGTAGAGCTGGCTGACCTGGGCTTTGTGAAGAATGCAGGCAGGTGAGGAGGGCGAGGCCTGGGCAGAGCGGAGGGCCGGAGACGCAGGTGCCTTGTGTGAGCCCCAGGCACCCTCTTGACCTGGGTGCTGCCCTTCTTCCTCCTTGCAAGAAGAGAGTAAACCCCCAGTTCACGGCGCAGCTGAGGTGTGAGAGGGTGAGCGTGAGGTGGAGCCCACTCTGGACAGCAAGAACACAGGTGCAGGAAGAGTAGCTGGGAGATGGTAGTGGGTGGATTACAGGCCTCGAGGTGAGCTAACTCCCCCTGGGCCCCCCCACTGTGTTGGGCCCAGGTCTCCCCTTTCCTTACCTGCACCCACACAGCTGAATGTTGCCCGATTTTACTCTAAATCCAGGTCCACGAACCTGGTCGGTGAGTTCTCATCCCTGCCTTTCCCTCTGCAGCCTGGTACCCCGCCACAGCATGACTGGGGATTCAGCTGTAGTGGTGTCCTGCTTGGCAGCTGCTTGCTCAGCGGCCCTCCCTGCACACCTGCCAGCTCCTCTGGTGTCTCCATGCCCCCCCCTGCTTCATGGCCCCTGGGGACACTGCCAGGTCCTCCCCTACAGCACACCTCCTCCTAGTGGACACAGCTCCTCTCCCTGTTTGAATCCTGTGATCCTGTGGTTTCCTCCAGCCTCACGATGTACATGCCTCTCTTCTCCCTGGCAGGTTGTTTGGGGCTCAACCTCTCTTGTCTGCTGGTGATGACCAGGTCTCAGGCCTCTGAATAGTGTCTTTGGTCAGTGCAGACCCCAGACCTCTCCCTCCTCTCTCAGTTCCCATGTGCCATCTCCACTTGGGGTCCCCAGATGTTCAGATGCAACAGGTCCCACACTGAGCTTCTGCTGATCACCAGGTCTGCTTCTCCACCTGTATCCCTGTGTCAGAACAGGCAAGACCACCTTCCAGAGACACCCTAGCTGTCCATCTGATTGCCCACCCTCTCTGGACACTTGCTTCTCTAGCACGGTCCCTCCATTGTCCCGTCCTGATGTGGCCCACAGTGATCATGTCTTTCTGCACATGGCCGGCACAGTGTCTGGCATCCAGCAGGTTGTCTTGGTGAAGGACTGTGGGGGCCAGAGGGCTGGGCCCAGTGCTGATCAGCAGGGTCGAAGACTGGGTGTGTTCGGAGCGAGTCCTGTGGGTTTCCTGAATCAGGGCTTGCTCAGGGCCACTACCTGGCTGGTTGGGAAAATCAGAGGAGGCTAAAGTGCTCTGGAAAGTAAAATGTGGGAGAAAAACAGAGCTGCTGTAATGATGGGAGGGCAGCAGCTGGAGTCCCAAGTACTGAGCCATTATTAGGACCCTCCTGGCCCTGGCTGGCACATAGAACTCCACCATGTGGGACTTCAGAGTCTGTGTGGGGCAGGGACCCCTCAGGGCCCCCGGAACCACGGCAAGGGAGCTATGGTGCTGCTTCTGCCTCTGATACCTGTGGCCAGTTTGCCATTCTCAGGTCAAAGAGAAGAAAGTTCTGGGGAGGGCATCACATTGAGCAAATAAGTATCTTCTTCATCTTAAAGCTACAATTGTATTTATGATCAGCACTAACAAGTACACAAAGGACATGTTAGGATGGTACAAACATGCTATCAAGTGAAAGCGCAAAGCAAGGCTGGCTGAGGCTGCTGGCCTCTTGGGAGGGAGTGGGGCCAGGCCTGGGTTAGCGGGAGAGAGAGGTTCCCACACCAGCTCCCTGCCTGAGGTGGGCTCCTGGTGACTGACTGTCCACCACGCCATGTACTTGGTGAGGCCACTTTCTCCTGCCAAGGAGCTCAGGATTGTCAGGCTATAGCCGAGTCTGCATGGATTTACAGCAAGCGGATCAGGAACCCAGAGCTGAGCTGGACCAGGCTTACTTGGTGTCACACAGTAAACAGTCTGAGATGCATTGACAGCATTTGACTATAATTTAGTTTATGTCCCCTAAACTCAGAAAGGTCATCTGGCAAAGAAAGGTCACCTCAAGAAACCTTGCAGTTGAAAGGAAATATTTGGATACCTTTCCCCCTTCCACTCCATCGCGGTCCATGCTACTTCTCCTGGGCCCCATGCAGCCTTGTGTCTTTCTGGAGGGCTTCACTGTAGTGGGTAGGAGGCTTTGAGCCTGGTGGGCAAAAAGGAACCCTGACCCCTCTTACTAGGGTAAAGTCCCCTAGTGTCTGGGTGATTTGTTTAGCAGGGCCAGAAATGGTCCCTTAAGAGGAGTGGCTATTCAGCCTCCATCATTAGTTCTCCCTTTCTAGGGGTTTGCTTGTGGTTAAGACTGACCTTGGGGCTGGGTGATCTTGGTGTTCAGACCTTGGAGGGAGGAGTGGGGACCTGCTGGGATTTCAGGTTGTTTGCCAGAGGCGGATGGGAGATGGTGGATTTCTCTTGCCCGGTTGGGTGGCACATGCCTCCAGGTTGTCATCCAGGGGCAGTGCCTTGTGACTCACAGCTCTGACCTGGCACTCAGGGAGCTCTCAGTTTTCCCCTCAAAGCTGGCAGGTGGGCCCGTGAGCCTTTTCCCACAGAGCAAGTTGCACAGGGTGTGGCGGAACTTCTCAGCCACGAAGAAGTACATGACAGGGTCCAGGGCCCCATTTAGGCTGGTAAGGCAAGAGGTGATTCGGTTGCCCAGGGCCAGGACGCGCTGAGCGGTGCAGGAGGTCTTGCTGCCACCATAGTGTAGCACATAGACAGAGCGGTGCACATGGTAGGGCACGAAGCAGATCAGGAAGATGGCCAGCACAATGGCAATCATGCGCACAGCTTTGCTTTTGAGGCGCTTCTCCACACGGGGACCCTGCCGCAGGCTGCGAATGATCAGCAGGTAGCAGGTGACTGTGGTGACAAATGGGAAGGTGAAGGCCACAGCCAGGGATGTGAGGGCATTGTGGGAGGCCTTCTCCCGGTACAGCTGCAGGCAGACCACCGTGTGGTTGGTCTGCACTGTCTGTGGGCTGACCAGCAGTGGGGCCATGGCCACGGCCACCACCACCCACAGGAAGGCACAGGCCAGGTGGGCATAGAGGGGCCTGCGCAGCTTGAGGGACTTGACTGGGTGCACAATGGCCAGGAAGCGGTCAGCACTGATGCAGGTGAGGAAATAGATGCTGGCATACATGTTGAGGTAGAAGAGGAAGCCAGTGAGTCTGCATGGGATCTCCCCAAATGGCCAGTGGTTCCCAGAGAAGTGGTAGACAAGGCGGGTGGGCAGGACCAGCACACAGGATAGGTCGGCCACTGCCAGGTGCATCAGGAACACGTTGGCTGGGGTGCCTGACTTGTGGTCCCGGATAAAAAGCCACAAGGCCAGGGCATTGCCCGCGAAAGCCAGGATGAAGTCCAGGAGGTAGAAGCAGGCAAACAGCATGTTCTCCAGTGGTGTCTCCTGCCCACATCGCTCAGCGGTGGCCAGGGAGGAATTGTTGGTCAGACTTAGGGAGGCCACCTCCAGCCCATTCATGCTGTGGCCGGAGCAGAGCTGTGGGCGGGCCTGGAGGGAGCAAGCAGACAGGTGAGTGTGACCCCAGACTCAGAAGTGAGCCTCTGAGCCTTCAGCACCTCCTGTCCCTGACTTGAGAGGAGCAGAGCTGCTCCAGGACTGGCATTATCAATGGGACTACTCAGGGCACTTCCTATGTGAGTGAGGAAAGCGGAAAGAAGAACCACACCCCAGGCCTGGGCTTGGAGCTCCCTCACTGTGCAACCCAGTCTCTGCTGAGCAGATGAGGGCCTGGGGCCGGGGTGACAAAGAAATCCAAAGTTCCTCTTACCCCTATCCACTCCCTCAGCACAGTGGAGGGGAGGAGATGTGAGGCTCTGGCAGGCAGACGAGGGCCCTACATTTTGTGTTCCACACCCAGATGTGCTCTTGGGGCCCCTGAACTCACAGCCACTGATGTGGAGGTAGAGTCTGTTCCTGAGAACCCCTTGCTTAGAGTTTGCCAGTTCCTTTCCCTCAGCTGCTAGTCCTGAGCTGCCCTCCCCACCCTGCCTGCCTGGGTCTTCTTGGCAGTTGCACAGCTTCGGGGACCAGAGTGTCACTGCTTTCTGCTCCCTACTGCATTGATATCTAGTCCACCAGGAGTGCAGTGTGGGCAGTGTCCAGGGTGAGGTCAGACCTGTTCTGTCCACCTTCACTGGAGTCCCAATACCTCCTGGGAGCTTTCTGTACTCAGCCCACAGCTCCGTTTCAGATGTCCTAGCAGGTGGAGACCTGGACTTAGCCTTGTGCTTGGGCCACGGGCCAGCAGGTCTGTTTTTCCATGCAGGGGTGTTCCACAGCCAAGGATAGGATCTTTTCTGTGAAGGAAAAAACCTCATTTAGAGCAGTGAGACTTGCCAGGGTTTTCCTCTATAGATCTGCAGTCCTGAGAGGTCTGGGAGGCCACCTGGTATGCTCACTGCTACGGATGGAGCTCAGAGGCCTGCTGGTCTTGGTAGCAAGCCATTTATACCAGACCTGGGTAGGGGGCTCCCTACCTCTCCCCAACAGGAAAACCCACTCTTGTCTCACTTTTAGTCCATTTGAGAGATCTGAGGAGGAAAAGAGTGGTCCCCAACACCCTGTTCCCTTCACCTAAGCCTGTGAGTGGGAATGTGGACAGGACTGGGCAGGTGGCAGAAACAAAGTAACCTGTAGCCACACGCCACCAGGCCTGACCCCATCAGGAAGGCTGTTCAGTGCCTGAAGTGAAGGTCTGTCTGCTATTGCTCCCACTGGCCTAAGGGGTGGTGTGTTGGTTACTTTTGTCTAGATGCTGAGACAAAATACCCAACACCCAAAGTTAAAGGGGAAAGGGTTTATTTAGCTCGCAGTTGATAGAGATTTCAGTCCATAGTCAGCTGGCTCCAAGACAGGGCTACCAAACAGGCCTCGAAGAGGAGAAACAACAAGGGTCGAACAAGGTAGCAAAAGCAACAAGGGACCTTGACAGAATCTTTCTGCCACTTTGATCCCATCCAGACTGCTGGGATTAGGGTGGTGCCAGACCAGTCACTCACGGTGTAGTGGTTTAGTAGCCACTCGCCCTTAATCCCAGCATCACACATTCCAGATTCAGCCACATTTAAAAAAGAAAGTCCCATTTCAGTCTGCATGAGGCTTTGGGGGACATCTACACACAAGCCATAACATTCCAACCCTGGCCCCTCAAAGACTCACGCACATCCCTTTATGCAACAGATGCTTAGTCCATCTCTGAGAGTTGTCAAAGTCCTAACAGTTTCACTATTGCTGAAAAGTCCAAATCCCAGATTTCCTCTGAGATTTAAGGCAAACTCTTAGCTGCAAGCCCCCATGCAAATGGAAAGAAAGTTAAACATTTCCTACATACAATGGCACAAGATAAACATTTCCATTCCTAAAGTTACAAGCAGGGGGATACAAAGGAATGGGACCAAGCAAGACCAAAATCCAGCAGAGCAAACATTAAATCCCACAATTCCACTTCCTGGAAATCTGTGGCAAGCAGGAAACTCCAAAGGGTGTGTGGGTGGCTCCACCCCTACGGCACTTATGGTATTTGCAGCTCCCATGGCTTCTCTCTTGCCCCTGTTCTGCTCCCTCCTTGCAGCTTTCCTCAGACAATCCACCTTCTGGCTTCTCCAAACTTCTGGGGTCTCCACTGCACCTTTGGTTTCACACTCACAGCTTCACACACTGCCCTCTCACAGGCACACTTCCTGGCCTCCCAGGCCTTCTTCTGAAATTTGGGTGGAAGCGTTCCTGACCTCACAATTCTTGTATTCTATATGTGCCTAAAACCAGTGCCATGTGGATGATGCCAAGGTCTGCTGCCAGCTGGAGCAGTAGCCAGGCTTCCTTCTCTCTTGGCTGTAGGGGTCGAGTGCCTGGATTGCTGAACACTCTGAACCCAATCTAGAGGAACAAATTCTCTAGGCTGCTGCCATTCTGGAACCTGGTGCTCTGGGTCTTTCTTCTCAAAGTAAATTCTTTCACCTTTACAACTCTGAGGCTGCAAAGGGTGGAATCCTGTTGCTTCTTGAGATGCCCTCAGGCCATCTTTTCTATTCTCCTGTTTCTTCTCAGCAATTAAGATCTCCTCTGCTCTATCTTTACAGTCCATAGCTTTACTGGAGCTTCTTTTCTGGCCAAACTCAAAACATTTAAAATCATTCCTCAGGGCTCTTTGCTCTTGATTCTCAACATAGATCTGGCTAAAAGCCCCCAACAGTAGCCATGCCACTGTCTCAATATTTGACTGCCTTGAAATTTCTTCTGCAAGATTAATTAGTCCACTGCCCCTAATCTCAGTCTCAGGCAAAGTCTCTGGACGTGAACAAAATGCAGACAAACTTTCTGCCAAGCCATAACACATATCATCTGGAGTCCAACAGCCAGTGCATTCCTCCTTCCCAGCAGAAACCTCCTAAGTCTGGTCTTTACCAGCTTTCTGGCCTTCTGAGCTCTGACCAGAGTCTCCCATACAGCACAGACTAAGGTGTTTCAGCTCTGTTTTTTCAGCCAACATCTCTGAATCTTTCCTAACTCTTTCCCTTCCCACAAGCCAGTTCCAAAGGCTCTTGAGCCACATGGCCAGGTGATGTCACAGCAACGACCCCACTCCTGGTACCAAATTTCTGTGTTAGTTGCTTTTCTCTCATTCCTGAGACAAAATACCTGACACCCAAAGTTAAAGGAGAAAGGGTTTATTTAGCTCACAGTTCATAGAGGTTTCAGTCCATAGTTAGCTGGCTCCAAGACAGGATGGCAAACAGGCCTCACAGAGGAGAAACAACATGGCTTGAACAAGGTAGCAAAGGCAACAAGGGACCTTAACAGAGTCTTTCTGCCCCTTTTATCTTATTCAGATTACTGGGATTAGGGTGGTGCTGAACCAGTCACTCACATGTAGTGGTTTAGTAATCACATGCCCTTAATCCAAGCATCACACATTCCAGATTCAAGCATATCTGAAAAAGAAAGTCCCACCTCATCTGCATGAAACTTTAGGGAACATCTAAACACAAGCCATAACAGTTGGGCACCAGTGGCTCCCTCTTACAGGCAGGTAGCCAAGGCTGAGCTTGCTCACTTGCATGAGGTTGTATGGGCCTGGATTTGGAAGGCAGGCAGGGAGACCTGGGCCCATCTCAGAGCTTGCACTGGAGTCTTTTCCTGGGTTCAATGTCCTTTCCTTGGGGCCTGGCTCCAAGATAAGTCTCTTAATTTGGGGGCCCAGTATAAGTGAAAATATGCATCTCCTTGCTTAAAATGTAAGAATTTCCAGCCCATAATAGCAGAGGATTAAGCTGAGCTCAGCCTGAGTGACTACTGCACTTGCACACCCTGCTGTGAAGGTGGGCCTGCAGCATCTGTACTGCCTCCACCTGGTGTCCTCCCACCCCTGCTGGAGGCTGCCAATGCTTTACCCTCACCACAGAGACTTGATTGTAAAACACTTTCTGGGTTATTTCTGCTTGGCTGAGGCTTCTCCCTCCATTTCTGTCCCCATCTTAGGAGTTTTGATACTGATTTCTTCAGTGTGGGCTGAGATAGGCCCCTGCTTCTCTCTCCCATGTCCCTTAGAAACCCCAGCCTGGTCCTGGACTTTCTGGTTCTCTTCTCAGGCTGCCACTAAGCATGTGTCTGAGGAGGGGGTGTAGAGTGTGCCCTGTACTGGGGCCCAGAAGGCCCTTATCACTCTGGAGGTTCCTAGGGAGTCCAGACCAGGGAATAACTTTTGAAGTTAAGATCTTTACCATCTCTGAAGCCATTTTTTGTCCTAGTAGGGAAAGCTTTCCCCCCAAATAGTAAAGATATCCACCCATACTAGGAGGTACTGTGTCCCTTTACTTTTGGGTGTGTGGGTGAAATCTTATTAACCAGTCCCTCCTTGAAGATCCTCCACTTTGTTGGCTACCAGGGAATGTGATCTTTTTATTGCGAGGGTTATTTATTTATTTATTTTTGAGTCAGAATCTTGCTATGCAGTTCAGGCTGGTGTTGAACTCACTATGTAGGCCAGGCTGCCCTCAAACTCACAGTGATCCTCTTGTCTCAGTCTCCTGAGTGCTGGGACTACAGGCATGTGCCATACACGGGCAGGAGGGTTACTTTCTGACGTACAACTTGTTGAGCCATTTGAAGGAGCCCCTTTTCTATAAATAATCTCTGAGCCATTTGGGAAGTCAGTAGCCTGGTGAAGAGGCTTTTAATGACATTTTACTGGTTAGATGTAGCTTTCTCCGTCTGAGACCTCTAGGAAGGGAGGAGCTGGTATTCCTGTGATAGTGTCCATCATCAGGCCCTTGGTATAGTTAGGCCTAGCATCTCCCAGGTTGTTTTTTGAAAATAAGGGTGCCTGGGTGAGCTCTGGACAGAAAGGCTCTTAAGCTGCTGCCCTGGCTGCTAGGTTGGCAATCAGTTTTCTGCATAACCTCATGTGTTCCCTTTTGGTGCCCTCGGTAGTGTATAACTGTCACTCAGATGGGAAGTAGACAGAGATAGGAGGGAATCTATTTCCCTGTGATATTTAATAGGGATCTGTTTGCTGACAGAATACCCCCCCCACGCCCGTATGTAGCACCAAGAAAGTATATTTTGAATCAGTGTAAATATTAACCCTTGGCCTTTACTGAGCTCTAGTGCTCTGGTAAGGGCTGTGAGCTAATTTTAGGAGTCAGAGGGGAACTTTTAAGGGTGGCCTATAGTTATTATAGCATATTCTGCCTTTTACAACCCATTTATTTTATACATGAGCTTCTGTCACAGAAAAGAATCATGCCAGGGTTAGCTAAGGGGGACCTTGGGGTCCTTTTTAGCTCGGCAGGTGGGGAGGATTCCCTGTTTCCTTGATTTTAGGATGAATAGGTCTCTAGCTGGACAGCTGGTCCTTCCAAAAGAAGTGCCTGGTATTTAAGAAGCAGCTATCTGAGAGCCATAAGCTCCCTTTGGGAGAAGTACAGCCACATTATGAGGAGTAAAAACAGTAAGATCCTTCCCAAAGTCTGGTTTAAAGGCTTCTGGAACCAGAAAGGCCACTGCTGCCATTGCTCGGAGACAGGGTGGCCATCCCTCACCTATTGGGCCCAGTTTTTGGTTTAAATATTCTGCCATCCATTTTATAGGCCTCAGTCTTGGACTGAGACTCTCAGGGTCATTTTATTTTTCTCAGAAACATATATGTTAAAGCATTGTCCTGTGAGGAGTCTTAATGTAGGAGCAAGTAAAGTGTTTGAGTTTTTGAAAAGTCTGTTGACCTGGGCGTGATAGTGCCCACCTATAATCCTAGCATTTGGGAGGCTGAGGCAGGAGGATTGCCACAAGCTCCAGGACAGCCCTGGCCACATAGTGACCTCAAGGTCAGCCTGAACTACACAGCGAGACCTTGTCTTGAAACTAAAAGGCCTCTTTATAGCTTGGTTCCCAAATTAAAATGTAAGTATTAGTTTTTTTAGATTTTTTGATTAACTGATAAAGAGGTCTGGCTATCTTGCCGTAACCTGGAATCCAGAGATGGCTAAAGCTGGTGGTGCCCCAACTCTCCTACGTTGTTTATGGTTTTGGGGCCGGGGAAGGAAGGTATTGGTTTAATATGCTCTTCCCTAATCTTTGCATTCTGTTGGAGAGGATTAGAATAAGATGTTTCACAGAGGGCCTGTAGACTTGGGCCTTAGATCAGAACTTTATATCACCTCTTGGCTAAACAGATGAATAAAGTTTGGGTACTTTGGCTTGAGAGTTTTTCAAGTGGGCACTTGCGAAGATGTCATCCACATACTGTAGGACTCTAGTCTGTGGAGAGTTAAAGAGGGACAATCTTGGGAAAAAACTTATCCAAATAAGTGAGGGCTGCCTCTAAACCCTTGGGGCAACATAGTGCAAGTGAACTGGAGATCAGAGATCTTTAAATGCCAAACGAAATTGTGACTCAGTATGGAGGGGTGCGTAGAAAAATGTATCTTTTACATCTAAAATGTAACCCACCCAGCATTTTTAGGAATTTGGGACAGAATGGCAGATGGATTGGGCACCACCACCTCATCTGATAGAGATCTACTGTCCAATGGGCTTTTGAATGCCCAAAACAGGAGTGCTGTGAGGGCTATTGTAGTGTCAGAGGAGGACTTGGGCCTTTAAGTTGTTCATTGCAGGCTGTAATCTCTTTGTAGCTTCCATTCTCAACAGAATTGTCTTTGGTGAGGAAAGGAAGCCTGTCCTTTCTTTAAAAAAAAAAAAAAAAAAATCAGCCCGGACTTCTGAATTAACCCATCTCCACTGGGGGAAGGCGGGGGACTGATTTTGGATGGCATTTAGATGAGATAAGATGTCTCGTCCGAGCAGGGAGTTTGGACTTTTTGGCATAGTCAGGAGGTGCAAGAGAACAGAAAGTTGTCCCCCAGCACTTGGGCCTCCATTGTCAGTGGCCGCTGGAGTTGCTGAAGGAAGTGGCAAGGACCCCCCCTTTCTGCCCTTGCTGGCACCTGCGTGTCCCCTTTCCTCGCAGCCTGTGACCCCTTGGCTCATACTGGATGTTGGCCACTCCTTCCTCAGCCCCCAGTTAACACTCTCTGAGGACAGAATTTGTCAGCCTGGCAACACGTTTGGGAGAGAATTCATGACAAGAGAGGGGCAGTCCTGTGGAGACCAGGGGCTGTGGCTATTAGGTCCCTTAATATCTGTGTTTTCTAAAGTTGCCATTAAACCTTAAGGGTCTCTAAAACTGCTTTTTTTTTTTTTCTATCAGTGAAATCATCTGTATTGTAATGGCCCCGCCTCAAAAGATTAATAGTTTTCCTTTTTCCATTAGGAGCACAGATGTTTGGTAAAGACCTCACCAAGCATTATTCCTGGGTGGGCAGAGGAGGAGGGATGGGAGAAAACCCTAACCAAACAGTAACTCTGTGCAAGGCTGGGGAACTTACCTGCCAGGCGGGGCACTGTCTCCCCAAACCTCACTACACCAGCGGTAGAAAGACAACTTGGATTAAAAGCTTTCTTAGGGCCAGTCTCTGGGCTTTAGTGAAATAAGCCTCTGGAAAAATGAAAAGGAAAAGAAAGAGCAGCAGGGGAAAGTCAGAGTTGAGAGGCCATAGTAATGAAAGAGATTTATCCCATCAGTGCTCGTGGGGGTTAACAGAACAATCTGCCCCAGAGACACAGTCGCTGGAGACCTGGTGTCAAGAGCTAATACTGTTCCCTCACCAGTGGAGGAGCAACCCGGAAAGGAAGCGGAGACAGAGTAGGCCCCACATTCCCTTCCAAGCTCGGGAACAGGTCACACTGCCCCAGTGAAACCTGTCCCCTGAGACTTGACAACAGCAGCTGGTGCTAATAGCTTTTTAAAAAATTGGTTGACAGGATCCTGCTTTTTTGGTTCTGTTTTTGAGACAGGGTCTCCCTATGTAGTTCAATCTGACCTTGAAATGGTGGTGATCCTCCTGCCTCAGCCTCCCAAGTGCTGGGATTATAGGCAGGTGCCACCTTGCCTGGCTGGTCCTGGTTTTTATAGGAGGCATATTGTTGTTCCCCAATCTATTCAAACACCAGAGAAATGGCAGAAGAGACATAAGGCTATCCAGTAAGAAGGCAGACTGCAAACCTCACCTATCTCCTAAACGTGATCATGGTTAACAAAAGCATATTGGAAATGGAGGAAAAAGGGAAAAAGACAAACACTCCCTGACTGGGGCCTTACCTCCTGTCAATCTCGGTGAGTTCTCCAAATCTAAAATTGTTATCTCCGTACAAACTGCGTAAACCCAATGTATTGCCTCGTGAAAAACAGAAGTGCGAACAAAAAGGAAGAAGTTAGGAAAGTGTTTACTAGAAGTAAGAAGAGGAAAAACAGCTCTTGGTGGGTATCCAGGAGGGCCCCAGTGGCTCATCTCATGGGCCCTAGGTCTGGAAGCTTTATGGACAAGCGGCATATGTAAACTGCTGAGTTGTTTTGGGACTATTTGTCCCAGGTAGCTCTATGGGTTTAAAATGACCAATTGAACTCAGGCTCTCTAAACCAGCTACTCAGCATGCAGAGTTTAAAGGAAACTGAGATCTTAAAGACAATCAGTGGACTCAGGAACTTAGTCGGGAGGGACTGCAACTTCCTTAGTAGGGACCAGCTGCATTCCACGTCACTGCAGGAAACCCACTCTTGGCCAAAGTCCTGGTCCACTGCTTGTTTTTGTTTTAAGTTTTGTCAGTGTGGCTGATGTCACCTATCTCAGACCCTTCCCTAGCTAGCTACCTGTTCATAAGCTAGCTAACTAAATGGCCTTCCACATTGGTCAGGCCTCTGCATGGGGCCCTTCTCCCTCCTCAGCCCAAGCTCTGCTCCTGACAGTCTCCTTCATCTGCTGCTCTGGTGCTTAGCAGTGTGGGTGAGGGCTTCCCATCTGGGACCGTGGATAGATCCCATCCCCTCCGTAAGTCCTAGATCTAGGGACTAAGTAAGCTGTATGGGCTGCTGAGAATTCAGCTATGGACAGCCTTCACTGCACCATTGCCCAGGGCACAGGGACAGGAGGCAGCCCCTCGACCCCTGCATTGTGTCCCAGCTGTCCACCTCTGCCTGGCCCTAGCTTACTGTCATTTGCACGCCCGGCCCTACCCCTTACCTCTTGCAGCTGGTCCAGCAGAAGGGGCAGGAGTCTGAGCGTGGTGGTGATACTGGTGGTGCTGGCAGTGGGCTCTTTGCAGCTGTGAGTGGAAGGCTGGCTATTTAAGGAGAAGAGGGGAGGCTGCAGCCCCTCTGGGCCTGAAAGGCTGCTTCATTCCTGAGGGGTCCCTTATGGGGTGGGCTACTCTTCTGGTGCTTCTGCTGCTACAGGGTCTGTGAATATTCCAGTGTGTCCCCAGCCTGTGCACCCCCCCTCCCCCCAGCTTGACCACTGAGTGTCACAGAGGCTGAGTGTGTGACTGTCTCGGGAGCCTGGGAGTGGGCGAAGCTGGGGCTGGGTGGGGGGCTCTGGTGGAACTGACAGACACAACAGGACGTTTGAGAAGGGGATGAGTTCCTACGGGGTGGGGGGGTGGAGGGAGGGCCCAGCCACCATGGCAACCAGCCACACTCCCAGGGCGGCTCTGGGCCTCTGGAGCAGGGTGTCGTGAATGCCTAGGGTGGGAGGCTGAGGAGTTTTGTTCCTCGCAATGAGAGAAGATTCTTTCAGGATACTTGCTGTAGGGTCCTGTGTCCTGCCCCGCATAATTAGGCCCCATTTGGGCATGCAGAATAAATCATGGCCTTTATGTGGGGCCAGCCACAGCTGCAGGCTGCTTCATAATGGGGGCGCTGTCTGTCCCGTGGGGAAGCAGCTCAGCCCTCAGGCCTGGCCTGTGCCTGTGTGTGCACCTCCTCAGCACAGAACGGGGGTCACAAAAGCTACTGTGGCCCACTAAGCACTGGACTCCGTGTCTCTCCTGGGGTGGTTCAAGCCAGGGGCATTTAGGTGGTACTAGTGGCTGCTCCAAGACCACATGGACCAAGCTTATTTCTCCCTGTCATCCTCTAGAATGATATACTGGGGACCAAGTCAGCAGTCCTAGTTTCAAAAGACTTTTACATTTTTTTAGTGACAACACTTAAAACTGTATGTAGCTACCACATACACTATCTTAGTCTTTTCACATAAGCCTGTGCAGCTGGGAGTATTGCTCTATTTGACAGACCGGGAAACTGAGGCTCTGGGAGGCAAAGTAGTCAAATGGGACCTCTAGTTCTAGTCTTTGAGGTATCTCCATACTGACTTCCATGCACCAGTCTGCACTCCCACCAACCATGGAGAAGGGTTCCTTTCTC